GAGCCAAATGAGCCTAGCCAATATGTTGTATCCTGTAGCAGGCATGTCTACCAATCACATGTGACTTTGCATGTCAGACACACACTTAATATGAACATGCATGCTCTGTCCTTACTGTCTTTCTGTTTTATTATTAGGCTAGAAAAAATGGTGTTTTCTAGCAATGCTGAATGTTGCTGAACTGTGTAATTAAACTGTCACATGGTTTTCCTATACCTCAGTCCAGACAAAGCTAGGAAAGAATTCAAAATATATGCTTACATTCAGTTTTATGACTGGTGGTCTGGACTGCTGTGTCACATGGTTTCCTGCCGGCCAGGTCACGCGGTATCGTCCGCTCCTTACTGGAAGACAGGAAGCACTGGTCTGTGGTGTCTCACATGCCTCACGTCTCTCTGAAGTTGCTAGTGGTCTCATTTATAATGCATTAATGGACTGGGCCACAGGAAAGCCTGTCTCCTGATGGGGGAGTAACAGAGCACTTCCATTCATCATGGCTGGATACAGACTCAAATCAGACAGACCTGTGATGTAGCTGTTTGGCTCAAACCAGCAGAACGCTTCCGTTCAATCCTTTTGTAGGCCGTTAGGAAAAACTACAAATGTAGCTATAGAGGAAATCACATGTAACCAGTCCTTACACATTCATTTTGACTTTCGTTCGGGAACTTTTCATCAATTTTGGACACACCTAGTTTTTAAAAAAGTTCTGATGCAAAGTTTTGCAGTTTTTGCCTCAGCCCTGAGCACTGCAGCCCGCTGTCTTTCCAATGCTATGTCTCTTGTTGTGGCTATGATCAGAACATGATGCAAGGCAGGGCGGTGAGTGAGAAACATGTGGCTGGTGGCTCGGCTTTGCCTGGGGAGTGGGACCTCACCTTGATTGTTACTGATGAGGGCTGACTTCACTTCAGGCATTCAGACACCAAGCTGTGCTTCAGCCTAGAAAAGATATAAGGCACATGACGAGATTTCCTTGAACTGATAAGACAGTAAAGATGTCCCATGATTCCTGGCGAAAATGCACAAGTATGTACAGTATGTGCAACCTTCAGCATCAAATTACAACCACAATGACACAAAGCAAGAATACAGATGTTTTGAAGATCAAACCAAATCTTTGTGCTAATCTTTAAAACGCAAGTTTGTTTGCCTGACAGTGGTAAGACCTTAAAATCATGTTGAGTACTCACGCTGACAGGAACACTAATTATCATTTTTTTCTTATTATACACCTGTCCCAGTACATCACTGGAATCTCAACCACTTAATTTTAACGGTGGATTTAACACTTGGATGGGAATTGAATCTCTTCTTGGAAGCCATGCCGGATTCATTCCTCCAACACTGATAGGCAGTGACAAGATATGAACTGCTGCTCAGTATTTCAGAGGGAAAAGGTTAAACTGATTCTTCTCCGCTAAGTCAATCCCATGGAAGTTGGGACTACTTGTGTGCATGAGCTCAAGTATGTATTTGTATGTGATGAGGGTGTTCAAGTGGGTATGGAGTGTGGTTATCGAAATTAACATGTTGGCCTCCGGTTTTTGTTTGTGCTTTTCCCCATCAATGCACACTCCGGCAATGAACACCATCTCTTCACAAGAGCAATTATCATCATAACCACAGCGTTTCCTGCCATCAGTCCATAAAGCCATTCTGCAGGGGTCATCCTCTAGGTCAGACTGAGATAAAAAGTGGTGAAGAAGTACTAACGACATATTGCATTTTTCCCTTTCTCTAGGTGACGGTGTTCCTGTCCTTTTTAACCCAGGCAGTCATAATCAAATGCTCTAAAGCCACCCTCAAGAGGAACATTACCCCTGACTCATTAACAGTATAGTTTATGACTTAAAGCTAATGCATTACCCCTGAGGGTTCATGCTTGGTAACAGCAAATTATCTCGGGAGCGCATGATGTGTGCCTTCATAATGACATGATGAGTACTCATTGACACGCACACGAGGAGTCAGGCATACATGGATGTACAGGTGCAAGCACACTTGCATACACCTACACATTCATTCAGACCTGCTGCTCATAAACACACGCAGACACACAAATGTGGCTGAGGCATCTTTCTATGTGTGTGTATGTGTGTGGTGTGACTCAGCAGGCCTAGTTTAATAAATGGATGTGGGTTTTAGGGACTGACACACTGAAAGTACGATTCTGAGTTACAGACATTAGACCTTTTCCAGTGCGTATAGCAGATGTTAAGTCAGTTCAGAGAGCACCAACACTGGTGTACTTACATATCATCTCTAGCATGATCAAAAGAACAACCTGCTTATGTACGACCTCCCTACTCCCAACTATTATAAACCAGTCTTTCCCTGGCAGAGTGTAATTGTATTGAAAATTGCGACTTTTATATCAGTTCATTGTTTCAAGGTCAGCTTTGAGGCTCAGCAATTAAACATGAGTGAACTCATAAATGTATTGCACTGGGGGGAGGAGACACCTCAATAAAAACCTAATTTGTTGTGAATATGAAACTTGTTAATTCCAACTTTTGATATGCTTTGCATATTTTGTGCTAATTACAGCATGGGAGGAACTGCCTCCTTTGCATATTTGAGGGAACAAGAATAAGAGCACAAGAGACTGAAACAGGGAGTCAAAGAGGGAGAAAAAAAGAAGAGAAGATTACATGCTGTTGGCCTCTATAATGAGATCGTCGTCAAATATTCCAACCAACCTTAATACCTCTCTGCAGTGTTTGAAGATTGTGTTTCCATTTGGGCCTGCCTGGATGGACTGATTAATCACTTTATAATCAGGATGCCTCAGTGAATATTTCATCCCTCTAACGTCTTTTGAAGCAGTGAGGCGTCAGTTTTAAATTTATTTGGTTTGAGTTCCTCTGCTTCCAATATTTCTCACAGAGACAGAAAACTAGATGTTTGATTCCTTGTTGCAGTGGTGATGTACTGCATTGCAGTAAAGGATGGCCAATAGCCAACAAGTGACAGTATTGTACAAACTATTCTTACTTTCATATATTACATCACTCGTGGGTCTCTGCCTCTTGGTTTTTTTTATTATTGTTTTTCTTTTCTTTTTTGTTGCTAATGCAAACCTTTTAAACGGGCACGTTGACAAATAACAATCTCTGAAATGCTCAGATTTCTTGCATCACCTAACACACTGCAGAGTGACAAATGACTTGTTAACAGGTGCCTCAAGTGCATCACTCAAGGGTAGGTTTGCGTACAACTTTACATAGATTTACATCATTTGACTTTGAGAAAAGAGGCACTGACAGCACGATGGCAAAGTCATTGGGTGTAAGTCACACAGTAATGCAGACAGAAATTTAATTAAAATGTAGTTTCCTAGATTGTTTTATTTGCTTATGTACTAACTGCAATGTAGTGGGTAAAGCAAGGAGTGAAAGGTATATGGCTATGGTATGTGTGTGCTGGCACCCTATTATTTTCTTTGTGAGAAGCTTGTGGTTTGTAAAACTGTACCTTCAAACTGTTTGTATTGTAGATGTGCACAGAATGCTTTCAAGTGTATTTCATGTTGGGTTATCACAGGCCAGATGTTCCAAAACCACTGGGATCATCTGTGGGTTATTCGTTTACCAACATTACCTTGGCTATATGCTACTGTCTGGCTAAACACCGTCTCCTCATTGCTAAGTGAGCTGGTTATTTCCATAGATTCACCCAGCTCACACACCACATCACAGCACTCCTGGAAGAGAAGGGGATTTTTTGCCCTCCCCAATTCTCTTATTCTGTCTTCTGTTCTCTCGTCTCAGATAATTCATTCAAGAGCTAAAAGTCAAAGTTTATCTCAGTCTTATTCAGTGTGTCTCTATGGCTCCCCCACCTCCCTTCTACCCTCACCCTTTTTATCATCTCCCCCCTCTCTCAGCCTGAGTTGGGGAGGGGAAAAATTCATGATACTGTGGGGAACAGAGTGGCACAGAACAAGTCAGTCAGCCTATCAGTGTGCATGAGTCATCCGGCTGCCACAGTTAGAGAGCCTGAACTACAGAGAGAAAGGCAATAAAGAGGCAGGGAAGTGGTACAGCAATTAAAAAGAGCATAATTGTAATTCAGAAAAGAAGAGAAAAATATAATACCAACATTTTTGCACCTGATCATCTCGAGTAAAAGACAAGGGGGGGACGACATCTGCAATGGCTGGCTAACAGATAACTATCTCGGGGTATGATTTATGAAAGAGTTACGAAAGTGAAATTAGAATCCTCAGTATCAAGCAAGCAATCAATGTGCTCTGTTTCGTCACTGCCATCTTATCAGCTTTGTCTTTCCCCTAGTTGAGTGACTGTGTTTTGCATACGGCCAGCAGGTTTTGCATGTGGGCCACATTATTGTCACCTTGCTGAATTGCATTACAGAAAGTGTGCGAAGGAGACTCTGCAGAGTGAAGAAGGAGAAGGAGAGACAGTCTTCTCCAGGCAGGGGTGAATTCAATCTGCATTCACTAAGGGGGAGTTTCTGTCCTGCCCTCCTGTGAATTAGCCTTCAGACTTCAGCAAGCTCATGTATACAGCACAGTTCAGCATGTGCAGAATGCTGTGCCCTTTTGCTTCAATTTTACCACAGTGCAGATAATCATAGCTCAATCTAATTCTCTGCTAATAAAGCCTTAGGGCGGAAGTGCACTATTTCTTGAACTAATTAAGAGCAGAACTTGCTGTTCTTGCCAAATTTTAAAAGATTGTAATGCTCTGTGAATCCTTGCATAGAAAAACTACAATGTGTGTGTTTTTTTTTCTCCAAGCCTCAGAAGTCATGTGGGATGTTGGCCTAGTTTGAGCAAAATCGAGTCAGCATATCAATGTGTGGATGCAAGTCTTTTATTAGGACAACGTCCTAGTGTTAAGTGTCATATGTTGAGGTGCTGTAAGCTTAATTTCCCCAATGCCTTGTGAGCTGAGAGTTAGATGTATTTTCTTATTTATCGCCAGTGGAATCTGGCCATGCAGATAGTTTTGGTTTTGATTTACACATCTGCTAATTTTGTCTTTGGTGCTCACAGCATTACAAAGACATTTAGACGTGTGAGCATGCATCATACATTTCCAGAAACAGTGTCCCTGTTTAGAGAGGAAACTTGACTTGACCTTGGGAACATGTCTGTGATAAAATGTTCTAAACTCAAGGTTCAAATTCACTGGATACAAGAAGCGTATGATGTTAAATCTGCCCCCACTATATTCCAAAATGGACCCTGCTAACTCAGCAGGCACCACCAGAAGCATCCCAGTGGGGACTGCCTTATGTGGCTGTGGACTGTCAGAACATAACACATGTCTTGGCACCATCGACATTTCAACACTGGTATCAATCTAACTGTAAGAGACCGCATAAACATATTTCCAAAAATCAAACCAATTCTTTAACTGTGCTATTTGGCATAAGTGCAATATTTCCCCAACCTTAACCATAACATAGTTGCAATTCACAAATAATTTAGAAAGTGAGAATTGAGATAACATTGTCATCACACATGCTGCAGGGTTTTGATGAGACATTCTTGTCTAGCATAGGGTCGCACATACAGCCACTTATCATGTGATCAAAGTTCCCTACGTGATATCAACTGAGTTCTGTTCGCCGAAGAGGTCTGTGCGATAAGTAGTGGTAGTAATAATAAGTGAACCTTGTGTTTAGAATATTTTATCAAAGATAAGTGTCCCTGTTACTCTGTTTAGTTCACAACACACACAGTTGGTAGTTTTCACAGAGGCTATTTAAATTGCCTAACCCCATGAAACCTGATTACACAGACAGAGGGCATGTTTACATAATGCCATGGTGATTGGTGTTTGGATTATCCTGGTTATGTGTTGCGCATGTAAACATCATATACCAGTATCAGAAACCTAGATAAGGTCTTATCCATTACTGCAGAGCGGCTGAACCTAACTTTTATATAGAGCTCAATGAATATGAACCGGGACTGAGCTTCATCCTGAAGATGGTCTGAAACATGGAGGTCCGGACAGTTGGATGCCAAAAATGGCATAGTGCCAGAGCAGAATCCAGAGATTAAGCAGAACAAAGCAGGGACCAGAATCAAGATGCAAAAACAAACAGGGGAACTGCTAGAAACAGGGCCCGGGGTGGAGCGGACAAAATCAGCTGATACTAAGATCTGGCAAGGTAAGTGTGGCAGAGCTGAGTTCTTGTAGGAGACTTGATTGCAGAATTGAAGGCAGCTGGTGAAGCTCAGCTCTGGGTCCGGCACACCTGACTCCACTTAGGCAATCACAGGCAAGAGAGAGAGAGGCTATGCAGAGGTGGAGGCCATGACATTATCACATTTCTGAGAAACCAGGATGAGCTAGCTTGAGTACTCTTAAACTAGGATACTGCAGCATGTAAACACCTTACCCAGGTTTCTGATCGTTCTATTTTGACAGAGAAATGAGAGAGATGAGATGTTGAGGAATTAAGAGACACACCCACATGCAGATAATTAGAAACCTGCATGGAATCAGGGATATGAATAACCAGACAGATATCTCAAAACATGGACAAATAAAACGAAAACTATTTGTGTGGTTAGATGCTGTCGGAGTCAGGGAGAAAATCAGCTGGATTCAGACCCCCTTTATTAAAATTCTACTGTGAAATGTCTGCATTAATATTAGTCAAAATGTGAGCCAAACAGGGCAGCATGTCTACTTACAGTATGTCATATGAATGCATGCTTGGGTGGCACTCTTCCTATATGCCACAGAACTATATCACACGTCAATAAGGCCGGCACAAATTATTGTGATCAGAGCATGAAAACCTTGAGTGGCAGAGAGCAGAGAGCCGCAGACATATGTGACACTCTGCCAGCTCTGGAGGTGCTGGGAGAGAAATGGCAGCATCAGCAGTGGACATTCAGACACACACTGTACCCATCCATCCACACGGCTGAAAACCAGCTTCAAACAGACTGTGAAATCCATCTTGGCTCCATAGTTTGAAGAGAGCTGGAGAGGGATGGAGGGACAGATTATGATTTATAGCCAAAGAGAAACGCAAAGTGAGAGACAGACAGAAAAGGAGGGATGGGAGAGTCTGAGAGATAAAGTGAACGACATAGAGAGAGAGACAGTCACCGGAGTTATTGATGTTCAATTGACTTTGGAACATCTGCGAGCCCATTTGGTCTTGTTAATTATACAGCACTAATTTAACTCACACGCTCAGTGGCAGAGACAAGGGAGGAGATGCTTGGTGAACTGTGGAGCACTGTGTCCTGACGTCTACTTTATCTTCTGTTCAGCCTGCCTGATGATGACGCTCTCAGCTACTGTATGTCTCCATGGTAATTATGCAGCCTTTTGCGTCTTTAACTGCTTTAATGCCTGGACAATCATATCTACCTACTGAGGGAGAAAAAAACCAGCACTAATATGTTGCCTTTTAGATAAGATTATGCAGAGGATTTTTGCAGTAAATACAGTGCAGGCTCAACTTGTGCAAGGACCTCCACTGACCTCTTTAGATTTTTTTTTATTTAAGCCCAACATTTGCAAATTATTGGCTCATTTAGCCCTCCTTTATACCTCCATGCTGCTGCTACAGTATATGAATTTGTATAAAAAATTTTGTTACTACATGTAAGTACATTTCATGTTGCCGAGATATATTTTTAATGGCATATCAAAACTACTTTTACATATTTAAATCAATCAATTAATAAAGTGTATGCTACCACAGTCTCAGCAAGATGCATACAAGTGTATTGCTCAGAGACAAACACATCACCCAAATCTCAACTATACAAACAGCCCCGAAACTGTGTGTTGAATTGAATGATGAAATCTGAACCCAAACGAAACCGCATCCATAGAGAGAATCGTGTCTGGCATTCTGATTGGTTGTATAAGAAGAGCATACAGGGAGAGCAAGTCCACACACACACTCACACACATACAGACCCCAGAGGCCTGTGTTTGCCTTTCCTGTAATCTGAGCTTCCGTTCTCTGAAGAATGATGTAACTGAATGCCAGCCCTAAACCAAGTAGGAGAGCCAGCCAGACACACTGAAATGTGTGTGTCTGCATGTGTGTGTACACTCTTTATATCTCTTTACATCACTTGTATCACTATTTACTACTAATTGCAAAACGTTGTTATCCAGAGAAGTTATTTTCTGCGAACTTGCCTCCACAGATTTTGCTGCAGTAAACACAATGTTTTATTGCATCACGTTGCCCTGCAGATTCTTTTTCAAGGTCACCAAGATGTGGCATTGGACCAAGGCAAACACAACTCCTGTAACACTAAATCTTTGACTGGTTTGTGGACCATTAACGGTCCTTTGGAGCCAAGTTCACACTGTCTCAGGCTGTGAATTGGCCAGGAGGGCATCTAGTCAGAGAATGATCTGTCATGACTTTTTTTCACTCTTCTCTCTTATTCTCTTTTCCCTAATCTCCTCTCTTTTTCTTCCCTCTCCCCACTTCCTGTGCTTTTGTCTGCAGTGAGTATTCTCTGCCATCACCAGTAATGAGTCACCGTGCAGGGCTCTCCTCGAGCAGGAGGCACTCGCAGAGAGGCCGTTGCCTCCCTAACCCTCTTCCTGCCTTCTGACTTCAGCATCACTAGCAGGAAGCTGAGACTGGCTCAGAGGCGAATGCTCATTTTACAAATGTGCATTGCCTTCCAAATGGCTTTTCCATCTTCCAGACCGACAGCCATATAAGATATCAATAATACATGACTTAAAAGGAATGCTCAAAAGGAAAGTGAAATAAACAGTTCTCTGCAATGGTCCAAAAAGTCTAATTAAGAGTAACTTATGGCTCATGGCTTATACTTTAACTGTTCAGTTTGTTGCAACATAAGCATGTTGTGCAAAAGAAAGGAGCTCATTCTTTCGCCTGTGGTGAAATAGGTCAGGGGTTTCTTTACTTTGTAACACTGCACTTGATGCTAAAGGGGTTGCCACACAAGTGTGTGTCTGTGTCTGTGTGCGCATGTCTGGGTCTCTGCTTGTTTTTATCTCCATGTGACCCATTTGCTGATCGACCACAGTGTTCCCCGCTCTGCTGGGGTTTCCATGCCAACGCAGCCAGTGGCAAGACAAAAGATGAGGACTCACTTGGTCTTGATCAAAGAGACCACTGCTTCGGTCTGTTGCTCGTGCTATCTAGCGTGTTCTGAAACTGATATACTGTATGTTTAGAGATAAAAGAGAAAATGTTGCACAGCAGTGTCTCCCAACCTTTTTAACTGCATGTACTCCCACAGCCCTGTCAGGTGAGCTCAAGTAATCCTTCATCAAAACCAAGTGTCAAGTTCCAAATATGTTCTGAATGGATTTTTAACTGGATGTTATTTGATGTTATTAATTATATTTCTAAGTATTTCTGAGATAATTTAATTGTCAATGTTAAGTTAATTTTGGTCATTCATACCACTTTGAGTGGCAGAAGCTGATCTTTTATATAACTATTTGAGTGTTTAACAAATACATTCAGCTAACTATTTCAACTGTTTACTTATTACTTGTAGTTCAACTCTTTAGCAAACAATTTAAACAATCTAAACTAATTTTATTTTTCATCACTTTAAGCTAAACTATTAGTTAACTATTCAACTATATCAATCTTTATCCACTATTTTCAGCTAACTATTTGAACTGTTTACTTATTACTTGTAGCTAACTACTTCATCTCCTTTGAGCTAACTATTTCAACAGGTTTTCATTACGTTAAGCTAATTATTTCAATGTTTATCCAATACATTCAGCTAACTACTGTATAACAGCCATTCATATATTAACCTATGTTTAGCCAACAATTTAAATTTCTCTGCTTTTTTGCTAACCTTTTGCAATCAGTCAATTGCAAAACGTGGTGGCAGTGGATTTGCAATCACCTTCAGCTTTTCATTTTCCTTCTTAACACAAATATTTGGACATATATGAGTTAATCAAATCACAATTTATATATTTTTTGTTGAGTTAGTCCTGTTGAATTAGTTAAGCTTTCCATGTACCCCCTGGAGTACAAGTACCCCTGGTTGGGATTCCTGGCATCACTGTTGTAGAGAATTGATAGGTCTATGGCTTTATTGCTGTGTGTGTACTGTGCCTTATTAAGGTGTTATTAAAATAGATAGATAAAATAGTTTAACTGTAGATTTTATGGGGCAAAGCAGGTTTAGCAAAATCTCTGAGTTTGTTAAACCTGCTTTTTGAAACAGGGCCCTCATCTCATGCAGCATACAAAATGTTGTATTGACAAGACCGAAATGTAAACATTAGCTGCTAATAAAAAGGCAAATCCAACATCCATAAGCTGAGTTAACATGCTATTTTCTAAGTGTATAATTACTCATTGTCATTCATAGAGGAAGGGATTTTATTGATGCACTTTTTATTTACATAGCTGATAGTTAAGACATTTCTCCATTTTATACACAGATGCCTGTCAGTTACAAAATGTGCTTGTTTCCAATGACACTGTAGCTCGTGTGAAATGAATAGCCTCAGCTACCTTTGTGACACAGCAATATCATTCTTCTTAAAAGCCGAGCAAACAAGCTCATTCAGCACGACGATAAGTAAAGCTGAAGTAATGCATTCACATAAACAGCGGAGGGAAAGTAACAGTTGAAAAGCGGAACTGTATTTAACAGCCCTCTGAATGAATGAGTAAAGAAATGCCACAGCAGCTGCATTTAGTGATACTGCGGGACAACTTTCCACTTCATTCGTCAGCAGTGAAAGAGGAAGAATAGAGTGAGTGAGTGAGTGAGTGAGTGAGTGAGTGAGTGAGTGAGTGAAGGGAGTCAAAAAAATGAGAATGACAAAGAGATACACTTTTGATGAATGAGAAGGGCAAGCAAAGGGGAATTACTAAGAAAAAGAGAAAACGTGCTGCAAAAACAGAAAATGGGAGGGGGGCTGAAGGTAGAGAACAAAAGAAAGAAAGCATGATGTTTGGAAAGACAGTTGGGAAAGTGAATCGAGTTCAGACGTTCAAAGAGATTCAGTGGCTGACTAATTTGCCGACGCTGAGACCTCAACTAACCAAAGCCAATTTGTACAGTTCAAGGTGACCCTTGGGAGTGCAAATCAGTGTGTGTGTGTGTGTGTGTGTGTGTGTGTGTGTGTGTGTGTGTGTGTGTGTGTGTGTGTGTGTGTGTGTTTGTGTATGTGTGTGCGTATCTGCACCTGCCAGTTTCTGGACCTACAGAGAGACAGCGTGTTCCCCTTTTTTTGATAAATCCTCATCAGTGGTGCTGTGAACAAACAAGTGCTGCTTTCACCTATCAAAAAGCCACACATGGGCATCCTGACAGACACACGCACACACTCACCCCTGCATCCTAATCACGGGGGAAGATTAATGATCTTGCTGTTGTCTCTTCTAGATAACTGCCTCATCATCAGCCAAGCGTTCCGCCTTGCTAATCAATCATCTTAATGTAAAGAGATAGACTCTGACTGCTTTAACCACAGCTGCATTCATCCTATGATCGCTCATTATGGACTTCAAGGTATAGGTATAGGGGCTTCTGAATGCTATGATGTACCCATTATATCCGTAACACAAAAATGATTCTTGGTGAACGGTGCTTGTGTAATCAAAGCATGAAGTTGTTGCCAATTGTCATGATGCTTTATGTGCCTCTTTTATATCTTGCCTTAATGCAGTGGTTCTCGAACTGGGATGTGGGCCTCCCTGGGGGGGGGGGGGGGGGGGGGGGCATAGAGTCACTGCACGGGGTGTGGATGATGAGGGGGAAAACAAGGAGTGCTAAACTAACTAACTAAATTAAATGAACATGATTTATGTAGGGAAATAAAAAACAAGAGTTTGCTGATGCTGTCGTGCTTACCTGAATAATTTATTTTATTTCAATTTCAAATTCAAAGTGACTCCTTTTGTGGCTCCCCCAATATTGTTAATGATTTTTAAGAATTCATCCATTTACATGTGTATTTTTTCGGCTTCTGAAGGGGGAGGGCATGACAGAAAAAGTTTTAATGCCTTTATGTCTTATGTAAAGCACTTTCCTTGTTGTTGAAAGTTGTTATAATCTGTTGTAAGATTCTCTCCGGAAGTTTATTGACAACTCGTGTCTTCATCAGAAGCAGTTTCATGAAAGCTGCAAAGAAGGATGATCAAAATGAATATCTTAACAATGCAATTCGGTCAGAAAATCTTGGATGTTTCTCAATAGACACAAAAGACTTTGGAATAACAGAAAAAGATGCAGATTCGGATCCACCAGAATATCAATTTGGTCCTCCGAGTCTCTATATCTTTGATTAAGTGCTCTCTGCTGCAGAATGTTGCCCTCGCTCACTTTGAAGGTATAGACATATCCAACAAGAAAATAACAAGAACTTCAATCAAATCTGCGCATAAATGTAGAGGCTTGCATCCATGTTTCATTATGCCATTCACATTGATTCAGCCGGCTGATAAGAGTGTCAGTTTGAGGGCGTGTGGTGTGGAATGAGGAACGCTGTCCTGCGCATGGGATTAATGGAGTCAACAATTCCCTGTGGCATTTCTGTGATTATGCGCATACAGACTCGCCCCACTCTGCAAGAAGATAAACAAAAACAGCTCAAAGCAAGCTGTCTACCCATGGGACACATATATAGTATATATACAAGTATACACTAGTAATGATAGCATATGTTTACAAACATGTTTGTGTGTATATCCATATGCATGTGTATATACACACAAACAATATATAAAAAATACAATATATATATACACACACATACACAGTAGACTGGCACACACACACACTCACACACTCACACACACACACACACACTTTTTCTTATGCAGGGTGAATCACCAACCTGCCAGTCTTCCTCTGGGTCTCCATCCGGATGACTCATCCCTCATCAAACGGTGGCCCTGTAGGAAAATCAACACAACCCCATTCACACATCCACTCACACTGCCAATAATATAAACACTATCAAACACAGACATGTGCATGGACTCACACAAACTTAAACACAAAGGGCTTCCCTGTTCTGAATGCTTGACAGGGGTTTCATAATGCATGTAATGCACTGTTGGGGAGGGAAACCCCTTGCAGACTGTGTGTGTGTGTGTGTGTGTGTGTGTGTGTGTTAGTGCATTAAGAGAGCGATCACATGCTCCATGTGATGAGTCATACACAGGCTGGTGAGCCAGGGAGCGGCTGGCTGGTTGGAAGCAGTTAGGCAGGAAACTCATCAGCTATGCACCGCTGAGCTCAAGACTCCGGTGAGATTCATACAAGGCTCTCTGACTTTCTTGTTAGCTGATGTTTGATTTGCAGTTGGCTGCAAAATAGCTGCCTTTACGTGTTACATGCTGTTCTGTTATGGAAGCAGCTCCACACTTTGCAATCAGTGACTTTAACAGCCAGTTTCACACCGCATTAGTTCATTTAATGCATTGGAAGATAGATACAGATTGTTTTGGTGAGTGGCGCTCGCAAGATGTTAACATTTTGCATGTGTGCCACCGCCCAAGCCTTTTTTCATTAGGTCAAGGTCATGGAATAATTTTTATTCCACTTAGTCCTTGTGTGTTTTTGTTTCATGGCTCTGTAATATAAACAGTTCTAAACATATGTTGGCTAGGACATTAATGGAAGTCACACAGACTTGTAATTTTACTAAAAAACTAAAGGTGTTCCTGTATTAAAAATATAATGATTAACATTAAGCTTTGAACATGTACTAACAATAGCTAAAAAAAAATAAATAGAGCAGGCAGACTTTTCAAGGTCAAAATGACAGGTGCATGCTGAAAATACATCCATGGAGGAGACAGGTGGTGCTTAAGCTTGACAATTAAAGGTGTTATGTTGAGATATTCACATGGCTGGATTCTTACCAGATTAATTTAAGAGAGCAGAATATTTACCTTGACAAAACAAGACAATTCCCATGAAGAATTAACTCAGGTTTTGCAATGATCTTTTCTACAGTACAGAGCAGAGGGAGGAAGGGTTGCTGTTCTTCCTGCACAAACACAGCTAAAGCTTGAAACATTTCTTGAAACGGCAGATAGCAGAGCAAATCAATGGCAGCTTGAGAAATCACAGCTAACGTGTTTATCTGTCAGCATGCAACCATGAAGCAAAGCCAGGGAGGTGTACCAGGACCCAAGCAGCAGCAGCATTCTCTTCATAGCAGGATTTAATGGCAATGTGGTCTTCATTCTGAGAGAAATGGATGCGTAAACTGCTGCTGGTGCAAGACCAAGGCCACCAGCAATGGTTGGAGTTACTTCTACAATATATTTTAACTGCTTTATATTATACAAGGTTACACCCGGTATATGTATAAAAGATTGAAAAGGCTGCACATACATGCAACCATCGCATATGCATTCTTTGAGAATCATTAGCATTGAAAGCATATGATCTACTGTACTGTATAAGCAAGGTGGAGGAATAACTGGGGGAAGATGCTGCAGTGGAGGGATCGTAATGATTAAAGACTTTCTCTCTGACACAGAATCCACATCAAATGTCTTAAACATGTTTTTAGCCTACATCCATAGATCCATATGTGGAATGTAGAATGTAGTTAAGCCATATGTAATTAATGCCAGTTTAAAGAGGAGGAGAGGAAGGAAGAAAAGGGGGATTGTATGTGTGTGCGCCTTTTATATACAGTCTATGGTGTGCTTGTGTAAGTGTGTGTATCAGGCAGGCACATGAAGAGGTGCCAGAAGAAAGGCTTTGATGAAACAGCTGTAGGAAATGGCAGGAGAATGATGAGATAGTGGGTCACTCATCACTTTGTTCTGCCTTGCACCTCAGGGTGCGTGTGTATGTGTGTGTGTGATTGTGTGTCCTACAGTGGCCTGAGTATGCTGGGCCCCTTATCCTCTGCTCAAATAGAAATCACCTGGGTGTACCTGAAACATCTTTGGCAAACATTTGCATCTTATCCCTCTCACAACCCCTCCACAGATTCTCTCCTGCTTACAAAGTCTGGCATTCTCCTCCACATCAATCATCTCCTCTCCCTGCCCGGTGCTGAGGATGCTGTTCTGACTTTCCATAAGGCTCCAGATTTTGACATCTGGTGGCCTAGATAAGCAGGAAACACACTGAGCACATCAGCCGATCTGTGAGACTAAAGGGCGATTAAAGCACATAATCTACCTGATATATAATGAGGAAAAAACTGCCCAGATCACAAAGGCAGACAGACACAAAGAAATGAGGACTACATGTGGTGTGCATCTGTCATGTTATGAAAAAGGCATAAGAGCAAAACCTTGGTATCCAAAAAGTCTGTGTTGCTGTGCACTTTTGTGCGCGTTTGCACATACGCTCTAAGCTAATTTGGAGTATATGCATGTGTGCATATGTGTGTATATGTGTATACGGGTGTGTATGTGTGTATGTGTGTGCATGTGTGTGTGCGTGTGTGTGCGTGTGCATCGTTTTGCTCCCACCCCTTTTTGTTGCAGATGCAAAAAAAAGAGAAGATGTGTATGAGTCATAGCCTCGTGGTGTAGAATATCAGTGATCTGAGTGCCCCTGATGAAGAGCAAATGTGGAGAGACAGACAATAACCCCACGGAAACAGTTTGTGACAATGCTGCTTGGTTTCCATGACAACCCGGCTCTGCTGGGATTGCAGAGAACATAATGTTTTTCTCTAATGAGGCAAACCGGATCATTTTGTCCATCTACCTGTGTACATAGTAGTCTTTCTCCTGTCCTCGTGCCTTTTATCACTCGTGCACACAGAGGAAGGCAAAGGGGGGAGAGGGAGCGAGGGAGGAGGCGAGGTTATGAGCTTGTGTATTTACTTTGTGCAATGCTGAGAGGGTAAATTGCTTCTCTGTGCTCTGATGTGAGACTTGCTAGACAAATGTGAAAAAGATTACTTTCTCTAAATTACTGATTTGCACTGCAGTGGCAAAGTCAAGGTGACCCCCACCTTACTTCTGCTACCGCTTTACAAACCCACACATATTCACAATGTCACAGTAACACCAGTGTAACACAGTGTAACCAAAACTGCCATCCGACTTCAATAGTTCCCAAGTATAATAATCTTATTCTATATTGTTGTAATATTTAAAAAGGATGATAGACATTTTACCCAACTGACTGAAAGACAGCCATGAAGGCACAAGAGATGCTTGCCATATCTGTAGCGGTACAACTGTCACAATTCAGATAAAGACCCAGAAATAGACTGGACGCTGCGGACAGGTTTTCAGGAATATATTCAGACAGAAAGGCAGAGCAGGTAGTGGCTGATGGGGGCTGGGGCTAGCTGAGCAGAGCTGGCTACGGGAGTAGACTAACGGACAGGGCAGGAGACTGTGAAGCTGGGCAAGGGAGCAAGCGAACAGACTGGCTGGTGAGCGTGAGCAACAGCAAAGGGGAGCTGACAGGTGACTGGCGAGGAAGTTCAATCCAGATGTCTTCTAATAGGGTTGAATATCGGTTCCAGACGGGTTGGAGTTCCTGAGCACAGAAAATCAATCAATCAATCAGTCTCTTTATATAGCACAGAAAACACAGGTCAGCGACAGGTTGACAGTAGGGCAGAACAAACAGGTACTAAAGACAGGTTCAGAGAGCTGGTAGTCAAGACGTACGAGTACAACTTAACGATCCAGCGAGGACAGGATGTCAGGCTCCCACTTAAATAAGACTGGAACCCGAGGGAGCGAGGATCAGGTGCGGCAACAGGATTAGATGGCAATCAGCTCCCAAGGCAACAGTCACGTCCCCCAACTACCCTGCAGACCGGGAGATGAGGGAGAGAGGGAGAAAGGAGAAAAAAGCCAAACCAAAACACAACAGCCACACCGAAGGGAACAAAATAAACAAAAATATTCTCACACACACAGTCATCAGGAGTCACGGCTAGGTCGCAGCAGGGAGGGCCGTGACAACAGCATAGTTATCATCTCTGTGTTGGCAGTTAATCTATGAAGCTCTGAGAGTATTATCTGTGGTGTTAACATTAGGGACAGCGTGTACTGTACTGTACTGTAGGCACACACAGTTTACAGATGGCTTCTTAAGGGAAGTCAAGTGCCTTCTCAATTGTGTCTCTCACAAAGTAAACTTCCCAAGTCACTGCATCATTCTCTGTCATGCTCATGCAAGGTACTTAAGGTTATAACCAGTGACCAAATGAAAACAAAAAGATGGCTGCCCCAACACTAGAAATCTAAAAACAGACTTACAATGTCATTGACGTAAAATGATTGACAGACAGACAAACACACATACTAACCCTAGGCAACATGTTAATCTAAGTTCATTCATATATCACTTACATTTGTGAATCAAACATGTTAAATAGTTAAATGTTGAAATATTATATATGCTTAAATTAAATTAAAAATAAAGGGCCATTAAAGTACAAATATTACTTGTGGAATCTTATCCCTCAGATAAAAGGTATGTAAAACATGCTTTCATTGGCCTGAGCCAAAGACAGTGAATTTTCATCTTTTAGACAATAAAAGCATCGTATTAAGGGGGCACACACATATGAAGATAACGTTACTCGTCATGAGATGCACAACAAATATTTGAAAACAGTGGTATGACATCTTGTGATATTCTGAAGGAGCTTTAGCAATTCTGAAATAACCCTGGTGATGTAATCAGGGTTACCTTGGATTGGGTTTGAGACAAGTGGCAACCTCCGGGGCTGAAAAATGTAGCCAACACACAAGTGTCATAAACTGCAGTTCATCGAATGGCCAAAAGCAAATAAATCTCCTCAGACCCCCATGTTAAAATGTCCAACTTTACAGGAAAAATAAACGTGTTTAAAGCACTGCCAAGATGGCGACAGCTGAAGACAACCAAATTGAGTTTCACAATCGCTCTTCAGAAACCTGTGGGTAATGTCACGGAGACTACGTTCATGTTTTATATGGTTTAAAACAACAGATTTATGACAGAAAGCCTGTATCACAAACCGAGGGGCTATTGAGTTGCATTACGGAAATGGTAGGATCTAGCATTTTTGGAGCTCGACCCATACCAGATTAAAGGTCAGGAAATTTTAGATATTTGTGGTACCAATTGGTGACCATTCTTTTCTTAATCTGTCTCTCACAAATCATCAAGTTTAATACTAAGTTACAGGAGTACCCCTTTTATCTACAAAGATTTACATTATTACCAGCCATTTTTCAACGGGTATCACTTGTTGAAACCCACTTTAGATTGGTACTCCATTAAAATAAACACCCCTACATTTTTGGTGAAAGTTAGATGATTGTAACCCTTGATTTGAGAGTTAGATGCTAAAAAAACATGGGATTCTAAAACCTGAATGTGCTGTCAAGAAAAGTTAAAGTACCTTTGACAAAAACATTAAGATGTAAATGTTTAGTGTGATTGATTACTGTTTCAATGAAGATTCAAACTGCTGCTAAATGACTTTCACAATGTGGTGGAATGGAAACCATGTGGCTTCCTCTAAGGAGGAATATCAATCTAAACACTTAGAGTCTGCTTTAGAAAATAGTCAGAAGTAAAGTGAAGGATTTGCAAATTGTAGTTAATAGGCTAAGATATGCAAAACCACTGGTATGGTCTGTGAAATGTCTGCGCACAACACTGATGTCCTGTAGTACAGCTCCAAGACCTGTAGGTCTAATGGTGGGAGATGATCTCACCATCATGCCTACAATGAATGCTGGATCATTCAATTATAGAGCAACACAATGAATCATTCTCCTCCTCTCTGACAATCTCCTCCACACTCCACTCATCTGACACCACCAAACCACAGAAGATGGCCATGTTATCTTCATAATATGGATAAACAGTGACAGTTGTCTCAGACGGAAGGCCATTTCGATGGCAGCAGATCAAATGAGAGCTCATTATGGAAAAAGTGACACATCTGTGTCTGTAGCAAGGCTTACAGTCAGGATATAAAGACACTGCAGTCCTGCTGCAGATACATGTGCCCCTGCAAAATTCCTCGCCAGTCTGGATGGAATGAAATTAGTGAACTGGAGCTTCAGTCCCGTGACTTCACTCAGCTGACAGAAAGAGACACTCTCTGCTTAACATATTAGTTTGTGTGTGTGTGTGTGTGTGTGTGTGTGTGTGTGTGTGAGTGAGTGAGTGAGTGAGTGAGTGAGTGAGTGAGTGAGTGAGAGAGAGAGAGAGAGAGAGGGGCATTATCATCTCGTCCTCTCACTCCCTGTGTCTATCTCGCATACACACTCACACACTTGTCTTGTTCCTCAGTAAATGTGTCAGTCATGGGACTCATCGCTGGAGTAGCCTGACAGATCCTCCATCCTCCCCCCATTGCTCTTTTTCCTCTCTCGTCTCCATTTTTGGACATTTTCAACAGAATGTTGAAGGACAGCAGGGTTCATACTAAATGAAACCAAGGCTGTGTTTCTTGGGATTAATGGGATAGTGTGGTGATCCACGAAGAGTCTAAACGAAATAGGTCAGCATTCAAAATCTTACTTCAAAGCTTGGATACTCGGAAACTGTACAGCAAATACCTCCCTTATTTTGTCACCCAGTATGAGTATGAGTAATTGTGTCTACAGTATATTAATCAAACAAAGCAATGTATTATGTATTTAAAAGTATGTAAAGAATCAAGCTATAGGGAGATTTTTGTAAACAAACAGTCCAGGCATCTTACTATATGTCTGCAGGCGAGCTATATTACATGAGTTGAGCCAGTTGGCCGTATTGGGCTTCACTTCACATATGTATTTTCATGTCTGTGGTCTTCTTGGCTTCTAGGAGACTTCCCATAGAAAATGGACAAATGCAGTATGGAGAACACGGACCTTTGGGAGGCAACCCTGAAGTTAATTTGACGCTGTATATTTGACGACCGGTTGCATATTTGAAAAACAATCTGTCTTGAGCCGTTATATCAACAGGCTGAAACCGAGCAGCAGGGTGCAGAGTTTCTCGAGAACTATTTCAGGTTTATTTTACTGGGACAGTCTTTCTTCTTCCCTGTTTATGCGTCAATCTGAAGCAGCGCTACGGCAATCGCTGTCAAACCTCCTGTCCCTGCAAGTGATTGCCTCAGCTCAAGGCCAGATATACCAGCAGTGTTGGGCATGCCAGAGGGCCCTTGTATCTGCAAAGTGGTAGTAGAAATGACTTTGAAATGAATGAGAAGAGTCCCATATGGTTGTAAAACACACAGAATACCTACCCAATGTTCCATCTTACTGCTATATATATGTAAAAAAAATTACTTTTCTAAGGAAAAATGAGATGCGGTTTATTTTAACACTACGGGCCCTGCAAAGACCAAATGTCTAATGGGGTCCGAGGTCAGTATTTAGCTCTCTGTGAAAGTATTATATACATGGACACAATGCACACAATTTATTTATTTACACAAAGTTCTAAGTGAATAAAAAAGTTAAACGTGATATGTAAAATGGCAGTTAATGGTACCCTGTAGAGATTATGACCACTAGTAGTGCTATGGAGTGTATGGCACGCACACAAGTACGCAGGTGACGCGATACACATTCCTGCCAGTGTTTTCACACTATTCTACTGATATACAGGCGGTGGCAACCTGTCAAAAATATGAACAATTTTCCATATGAGTATTTGTAACAAGGCAGGTTTGCTGTTTCCTTTCAAGTCAAGTCAATCCTATTTATATAGCCCAAATTTGCTTAACTGGCTTTACATTAGGTACATCGCATGAAACTCACTGTCCTTAGATGCTCAGTTTGGATTTAGTACAACTCCAAAAATCTAATGCGAAGAAAAGGAAGAAACCTGCTTCATGGCAAGATAGTTCCATTATTTTCCAGTAGAAAACTTGGATGAAATTGTATGACCATGACTGATGCACACACTCAAGATACTCAGGGATTTAACTGGGTGAGACCTTGTTTTCCTCCATTAACCTGCAGATATGAAAGGATACCGACGTTCTTTCAGCCAGCCAAGGCCCTTGTTGTTACACAAGTGCTGGAACTCTGCCATGTTACACAGCCCAGAGAATAGGTGAACCCATAAGAACGGGGTTAACGTGGCTGCAGTCAGTACAGTCCCCTCATGATGAGATCCAGCTGACTGTGACTCCACAGGAAGAAGCTGAGGATCAGTCTCTTTTGCTTACCGTTTCTGAACCATCAGATTTGAGATGGATAAGGTCTTCAGACAACTTCAGCTCAGAGAACTATGATGATTTTTTTTCCTTCCTAAATGTTACATGTTCGGATAGCCCGTTGACCCGTGGTGGGTGGGAATGTGTGTGTTTGTAGTTGCAAGGCACACAGACCCGCCTATGCTGATCCCAGCATGTGTTTCCTGTATGGGAATGCTTAGAGAGGTGCAGTATGCTTACAGTAAGTGTGTGTGTGCCTGTGTGTGTGTGTGTGCCTGAGTGAGCACGAGCGAGACAGAACGGAAGGGAGAGACACAAAGAGGGAGAGAGGGAAGGCATATCCAAGGGGATCAAACCTAAACCACAGGATATTTCTGACCTTGAGGGCGAGCGGGTGAAGCCAGGGGACTATAGGAGGAAAAGAAAAAGAGAGGAAAGCTGAAGGGAAAGGAACAAAGAGATGGAGAGAGAGAGAGAGAGAGAGAGAGAGAGAGAGAGGGGAGCGGAGTCTTTGGAGGGCAGCTGGAAAGCCTCCAGAATCCTCTGCTCAAACCAACCATAAAATTCCAACTGAAGCCACAAAACCAGCGTAAGGACTGACGAGGGTTCCTTCTGCCCACAATGGGTGTGTGCGTGTCTGCATTTGTGTGTGTCTGTGGTGTGCACACATTTACTTTTGTGTGTGTGTGTCTATGTGTGTGCCATATGTGATTAAAGGGTCCGAGCAGAGGAGGCCAGGAGGCAGACAAGTGATGCAATCCACGGAAGCGAAGGAGAGGACACGAGGGAGGCAGGAAGGAAGGGAGGGGGGAGAGGAAGAAGGAATTGTTGCTTCTGGGGATCCAGCTCTCCAGGAATGTGCTGACGGTCATGTCCCACACAGTCAGGGAGTGTTGCATTCTGGGAAGCTCTGCGGAGGTGACACCACCTGTTTTAGTGTGCTACAAATTGCAAAAAGGATGATAGAATCACACATCATAAAGGGATAGACTTTGTGAGTCATTACTGTTAATTTTCAAAGGCACAACAACCCTTCTCCCTGTGCACACTGGTCTCTCTCACTGCAGGCTGGAGGCCCGAATCCACCCTCACACAGCAGCAGTGGAGATCTATTTTTGTGCGCGCTAAACAATGTCCACAAGCACCCACACAAGCTCAGTGGGTAAGGTGACTGGTAAGCCTGGAGAAATAGTCTATTTATGAGCAGGGCAGGAGTGGGTGGTTGTCCTTGAGCTGGTTTGTCTGCCGTCTGAAGCGCTAAGTGCTGTATA